AAGTCAAGTACTTTAGAGTTAAGAGCATTGCTCTCATTTCTTTCTTTTCAGAAAGAAAACCGCTCCTTCTGGTCCTTGATGCTCTGCAGTTATGGGGATCAATGATGGACACCAGGAACTAAGAACCACAAAAGGGGGCCTCCAGGCTTCCCACGTCACTTCAGCACCCACTTCCAGGATGACCAGACATCATCCTGTATCAGGAAGGATAGTACTCGTCCTGCCTAGTATTCTACCCAAATGTCCACTGCTGATAACTCTTATCTCATGCTGGTCTCTCCTCTCTCTCTCCCCTCTGGTTCAGCATTTATTAAATCACACTGCTCAGATTTCCTGTAAAAAGTACTTGGCGATCTATTCCTTAACAGATGCATATAAATTAAAGCATTCTAGGGGCGCCTGGGTGGCTCAGTCGGTTAAGCGACTGCCTTCAGCTCACTTCATGATCCCAGGGTCCTGGGATCGAGCCCCGCATCGGGCTCCCTGCTCGGCGGGAAGCCTGCTTCTCCCTCTGCCCCTCACCCTGCTTGTGTTCCCTCTCTCGCTGTGTCTGTCAAATAAATAAATAAAATCTTAAAAAAAATAAAATAAAATAAAGCATTCTATACTCACTGGGGTAACACATTAAAGGACTCTTAAGGAATTCTTTTGCTGTGAGAAGTCTGTGCCCCTCGTCTTGGTTCTAGCATTGTGTAAACTTACATAAGGTTTGGGCCTCAGTTTCCTCATCTATAAGATGAGAAGATGGGGTCAGATGAGCTTTAGGGCTTCTTAACAAATCTAAAATTATATCACTGGGACGCCTGGGTGGCTCAGTTGGTTAAGCGGCTGCCTTCGGCTCAGGTCATGATCCCAGGGTCCTGGGATCGAGTCCCACATCGGGCTCCTTGCTCAGCAGGGAGCCTGCTTCTCCCTCTGCCTGCCTCTCCCCCTGCTTGTGTTCTGTCTCTCTCTCTGACAAATAAATAAATAAAATCTTTAAATAAATAAATAAATAAATAAATAAATAAATAAAATTATATCACTAAAATGTCTGGATATATTATTTGAGAGTCTCTTGGTGAAAGATATACCTGTATTTCTATCTGAAAGAATTTTTGCAAACCAAGTTCACTTTTTTTTCCATGATAAAACAGACTCATGAAAGACAGTTTGGAACTACATAAAAACAGAAAACAGGGAAAGGCATTCATAGAACACTACCTTGAAAAGACAATTACTGACCTGATCCTTCTTCCTCTCTCTCCCCCTTCAACCCTATCTCCATCCAGTTCATCGGTTAAGACCCTCCACAGACAGACATGAAAGAGGCATCAGGTTTGCGTATCTGGACTCCAGCCACATTATTTATGGGTGCCTGCCCTTACAGAGACTTGCCCTTCTGAGAGGTAACAGATCCCAGCTTAGGAGAAAGAGTCGTCCATATCCCCGGTTAGAAGACAACTGTCATCCACTTTTCCCAATGAGAGGCTCCTGCTCAAGCAGCCAGAGACAACAACCTGAGATCGGTGACTAAGAAAGGGACGAGCAAGTTCTAGAACCAAGCTCCGGTTTCCCTTACTTTGGAAGACATATTATTTCCAGAGGTGGAAGGCATCCCAATATTAAGTAGCTAGCCCTTCTATTTATATGTCCAATTGAACCATAATCATAGGGCTCCTGGGTGGCTCAGTCGTTAAGCGTCTGCTTTCGGCTCAGGTCATGATCCCAGGGTCCTGGGATCGAGCTCCGCATCAGGCTCCCTGCTCGGTGGGAAGCCTACTTCTCCCTCCCCCACACCCCCTGCTGTGTTCCCTCTCTCGCTGTGTCTCTCTCTGTCAAATAAATAAAATCTTAAAAAAAAAAAAAAACATAATCATAAAAAAATACCAAAGAGAGAGAGACACTTGGATTTCCTCCAAGTCCCTACCAGGTTCCCTAAAACCTGGCTCACAGAAGACAACCTGACCAAACTTCCGTTGTGGGGATTCTGACAGATATGCACAGGAAAGAGAATGTGATCCCCCAAATGTGATATCCCATTCCTATTACCCAAGAGGACAGCAAGCAGAATAATAAAGGAGGAGGTATCAGTTCTAAGCTCTCTCCTAGTGAGATTTCTCATTGATCTGTTCCTTGGTCCAGCCCCTGCCAGCCCAAACACAAGACAGACACCATGAGGACAGTTCCCAATCATCCATGACCCCCATTGCAACAGAATGACTGCCAGACCAAGGGATTCCCCCAGCTGGGCTCCTCCCGGTTGAGAAATGCAACAGGATCACAGGGGAACTTACAAGTGTACCTTGAAGCAGACAGCTCCACCATATGACAAGGGATTACAGGCAAGAGCCCCCAGGGAATGAATGCATCGCCCATTCCCATCCCTCACTGAAACTAGCGAAAAGTTACGAACTCTCAGAGATAGACTGTGATTCACAGCAATCAACTCCGGCCTGCAGCTGTGAATACGACAAGCTGGGGATGAGTCCCTGCAGCTCCTCTGTGCACGAATATACACGCACATGGACAGGGAGATGCTCTGCTGCCGTACTGAGGGAGAGCAAACAGCCACGAAGGCAAAGTAGAGCTGGAGATCCTCCCCAGCGGCCCCACCAGCACCCTTACTCTTCGGTCGCACCAGGTCTGAAGACTGCTCTCCAGTTTTTATTCTTCAGTTGAAATGCGAATCTCTTCACGAGATCCCAACTCCTCTCATTTCATGCAGTTTCTCTGAAGCAAGCAAAAAAGCAGGTGGGGGAGGTGAAGCTTATATAAGATTCAGGGTGCACAGGGCTTTCCTGGGCTGGGCACTTCTGCCTGAGCAAGGAGCCCCGTGGGGATGCACCAAGAGAAATGAAGCGGTCGGAGTCTCCCTAGAGCTCCAGAGCCCTGAGCAATACTTCCGCTTTTTATCAGAGCTCTTTCAAGAGGAAGAAAACAGGCCTGGTCTTGGCCTCTAGGGAAGCAGAGCCCCTCTGGGGATCTGGCTCAGAAGGAGCTAGTCTCTGTGTACACCCAGGTGGCTGCTTCTGGATTTTATAAATACTCATCCCTGAAGCCAGGCTCAGCTCCATATTAGAAGGCAGCTTTGACAGCTAAATTGTTAGTTAGAACCAACTCACTCTGACAGCCTGGAGGCTGGGCAGCCCTGCACACACACTGACAGCTAGTCCCCATCCAAGGATCCTATTGTCATCATTCTGCTGAGCTCCTGAGTGAGGCTAGCCAAGTTCAGCAACTAAGTCAAGACCTGACTTTCCCCTCAAACACGAAACTGTTTTCCCTGTTGCTGAAACAGCTGAAACATGCCTGTGGCATGTCCTACAGAGTCTGTGCACTTGCCCCCAAAAGCTCAGACCAACCACACATCTTCATGTTGGCATAGCCTTCAGATCACAAACTCCCAGGGGATGGCTTGAATTGCAACTTGCAGATTTAGAAACTCTAGAGGGGGCCTTGAACTCCAGCCCTCAGTGAAAAAGAGGGCAAAGGGCACCTCTCTTCTCATATCACGGCTGCTCATGTTAGAAGCAAGAGGAAAGAAGACTGAACAATATATATATATTTTTTCCTTTTCTTTCTGAAAGGCTGCCATGGTCGCAGTCACAACCAGCTGAGGGACTAGAAACCACTTTAGTTCATCTGCAGCCCCCAGACTAGCCGAATTTTTCAGGATAAACTTAGTGGACATGGCAACCAAGACAACATAGCAGTCAGCACTAATTGGCTCCCTGGATGACAACTTTTGGTGGGAGGTCAGCAGAGCTCCTACTAAAGATAAAGATCTAAACCGAGACCCAGCTCCAGGGTCCTGTCCCCCCACTAGCCTGGTATTCTTGAGAAGGCTTGTGCTCATTTTCTGTAATATTCCAAAACAGAAAAGAAGAAACAGGGACAGAATAACAACAGCTAAAGTAGATTGAGTGCGTCCTCTGTGCTATGTCCTAAGTACTTTTCATATATTATCTCACTGAATCAGAACAATCCGTATTACCCCAATTTTATAGATTAAACACTGAAGCAGAGAAAGGTTTAGGAACCGGCCTAAGGCCACATAGCTAGTAAGTAGTAGGGCTGGGACCTGGCATATAGCCGAGAAGTTGGATTTATCACAAGATCCTGGGCACTGGGAATGGGGTTGCATGGAGCAGGCTTGTTGTGATGCTACCGTCCGCACCGGCTTCACTTGGGATGGAAGATCCTTGATTCTGGATCCTACGGAATGCATTCAAACAATGGAAGAGGCCTTTCAAGTCTCTGCTTTGACCCCTCCCTACCTATGGATGGTGTTCTGGGAAAAGAGAAAAATCCCAGTTAATGGACTGGCTCTGGCTCAGATGAACACGGTGGATCCCGACAGGAAGACCTAGGATGTAACAAGCACTGCAGAGGGAGGTCTCTCTGGAAGGGGACAGCTCTCCAGGAGTGGACATGCCCCCGCTACAGGGGCTCCGGAATATCAGACATGGTCCCTCCAATGGTTGGTTCCGGTCTGAATGCGTGGAGGGTGGGATGCCCCCTTCCTAAAAGGGGGAATGTGGCCACCGCAGGGGGCTAGGCGGGAGTTCTTGCTGAAGGCTCCCTAAGCAGTGCAAGAGCAACACGGCCCTCGGAGAAGGACCGTACAGGCGAGCGTTTCTCTCCGAAGTCCGGGGACTGAAGGGAAGCCCGAGTGACCTCAGAGCGGCAAGGCAGAAGCGGAGGGTGGAATCCCGAGGAGGCGACTTACCGCCTGAGACCGCAGTCCCACTTCACGCCTGATGCCAGCCCCCCCCCCCGCAAAAAAAAAAAAGCTCCCTGCACAGTGCGGGGCCTGAAGCCTCCGTCTTCCAGTCGCTTCCCAGCGCCCGAGGTGGGAGCTTCCCGGGAGGGGCAGTGGCGCGCCCCCGGAGGTCTCCGCGGCTCCCGGCTGCCGCGCCCTCCCGGGCTCCCCGGGACCCGGGCCACGGCTTCCCCGCCGCAGGCTCGCCCGGAGCGGGGGGCGGGGGTGGGGGCGGGGGGCCCGCAGCGCCGCTCACCTCGCTCATCGCGGCGGCCGGACGGGGCGCGCGGGGCGCGGCACGTGCAGGGGCGGCGAGGGGCCCTCGGGGCTGCGCGGGCGACGGCCGCGAGTGGCCGGGCTCCGAGCGGCGCGCCCCGGCTGACGAGCAGGGCCGAGTCTAGTGCGGGCAGCCGCTGCTCCGGAACCCGCACCCCGGCTCTCGGCGACCAGGTTCCCGCCAGGTGTCCCCCTCCGACCCGGTCCAGTCGGAGCAGCCCCGCGCGTCTCCTCGGGGAGCACCTTTTATAGTCAGCGCCGTACCCGCCTCCAGCCCGACCAATAGGAGCTCCTCCTGCCGCAGAGTGACGGCCCGTCGCATCCAATGGTGGCAGGCCCAGAGGTCTGCTGCATTTCCCAACTAGGGTAAGACAGTCCGAGAGCGGGAGGGAGGGGGAGACCGTCGGGGGATGAGAGCACGGAAAATGAAGGAGCGCGAGCAGAGAAGAGGCAGGAGTAACGCACGAAGGAGGAAGGAGAGAGAGGGAAAGGAGTGTGCGAATTTGTGGGAGCGAAGAAAGAAGAGCTGGCAGGAAATAAGAGGGTACAGGAGAAGCAGGAAACCGTGAGTGGATGGGGTAAAGCCGAGAGATGTTGCAGATCAAGGTTTAGTCGTAGGATGGCAGTCTGATTAAGAGTGAAATCTTAAAAAAAAGAAGAGAGAGAGGCGGTAGGAAGAGAGGAAGAGAGAGGGAAGAGGAGAGACAGACAAAAAAGCAAGTGGCGTATTCCGTGGCAAAGAACAGGGAAATTGTGAAGTGCCTGTTTGATTGGGAATATTACAGATCTTAGGAGTAGAAAGACATTTTACGATTCATCAGTCTTACCTCCCACAAAATGAAAAAAAAAATCCTCTCCAAAAAAAAAAAAAAAAAGATGGTCCCTTAGCATCCACTTGAATAGGTAATGGGCTCCCCACCAAAGTTAATTTACAACTCCTTATTCAGAGGTGCCTGGGTGGCTCAGTCGTTAAGGGTCTGCCCTCGGCTAGGGTCATGGTCCCAGGTTCCTGGGATTGAGCCCCGCATTGGGCTCCCTGCTAGGCGGGAAGCCTGCTTCTCCCTCTCCTCCCTGCTTGTGTTCTCTCTCTCTATCTCTGTCACTATCTGTTTCTTTCTCTCAAATAAATAGATAAAATCTTAAAAAAGAAAAGAAAAGAAAAATCCCACAACTTATTTTTTAAAAAGAAACGAACAAAAAACACAACTGCTTATTCATTCAGTCTCACTGTGACAATGTGCCCTCCGCTGTGCCAGGCACGATGGTGAAACTATAAAAAAAGGAGACACACTTATTATGGCAACAACTTACTTATTATGACTTTGCACCTATTGTTGCCTTTAAAATGGGTTTCAGCCGGGGCGCCTGGGTGGCTCAGTCGTTACTGCCTTCGGCTCAGGTCATGGTCCCAGGGTCCTGGGATCGAGCCCCGCATCGGGCTCCCTGCTCCGCAGGAAGCCTGCTTCTCCCTTTTCCACTCCCCCTGCTTGTATTCCCTCTCTCGCTGTGTCTCTCCCTGTCAAATAAATAAAAAATCTTTAAAAAATAAATAAATAAATAAAAATAAAATGGGTTTCAGCCTGCAAGTCCTGCCTCCTAGAGTCTAGCTTGCATCTTCCTCCAATTCAAAGAGCGACCCATCTGGTGGCCCGTGTTTGAGAACCAGAGTCTACTGGCCAAGCGGGTGTAGGGAGTGGATGTGAAAGGTGAAGCCCACAGTCCAATCTGTAGAGATTATTTTTCAAGAAGATGGAATTTTACTAAACAATTATGTCATATAAGTTTCAAGGAAAAAATATGATTCGAGCAAGATGAAGAGAAGCAGAACACCTAGGGAAAAGTCATGAACTCCCTGATAACTTCAACTGCCATTCCTGTTTATCTAAATATCTAGCCTTCATTTCTGTTTTAAGGAAATCCTTCCAACTCTCTTGTCTGTGATACTTCTAGGCATTGTGAAACCTCTTAGCCTACATAAAGCCTCAGTGAGTCAAAACCAAACTCTCTCAGCTTCAGCTACGACACCCTTTTGATAATTTCCTTCATGGCCTGTAATAACTGAGTCATTAATAGCTGAGCTACTCTCAGCCAAGAACCACTGATCTCTTTTCAATAACCAGATTCAGATAAGACCTCAAATACCCTTTCTCTAGCTAGCTCCTCTGTACTTTTACATTTTCTTTCTTTTTCCTTAGTACTTAAAAAATTTTTTTTCAAGATTTTACTTATTTATTTGAGAGAGAGAGTGAGAGAGCATGCGTGAGCAGGGGAAGGGGCAGAGGGAGAGGGAGAGAAAGAATCTCAAGCAGACTCCACGCTGAGCACGGAGCCCCACGCAGGGTGGGGCTGGATCTCTAGACCCCAAGATCATGGCATGAGCCAAAACCGAGAGTCAGAGGCTCAACCGAATGAGCCACCCAGGCGCCCCACTAATTCAATTTTTTTAAATTCCAATATAGTTAACATACAGTGTTATATTACTTTCAGGTGTACAATACAGTGATTCAACACTTCTATACGTCACCCAATCTGCTTTTACACTTTCTCTGCCAAATCAGAAACAGAGAAGAAGGGGACAGATCAGGTCTTTTCCCCCATCCACCTGAGATCCTCTGACTCTCACTTACCAATGGGATGCAGTTGCCTAAGTTACCCAGTTTCTAACTAGGCTAGCTCCTACTCAGTCTATGCAGCCTATTCTTCTGTTTTCCCCCACCTTTCTAATGAATGGCTAACTAGCATTGAAAAGATTGTCTTTAATGAAGCAGACCTCTCCAAATTTCTTAAACAGCTACGCAGAGATTATAAAGAGAATCTAAGATCCTAGATCAGAGATCTGCAAGCTTTCTCTGTAACAGCCAAATAGTAAATACATTAGGCTTTGCAGGCCTGATGGTCTCTGTTGAAATGATTCAAGCCAACCACTACCGCTTGAAAACAGTCCTGAACAATAAGCCAGTAAGTGGGTCTCTATTCTAATAAAACTTTATTTGTGGACACTGAAGTGTGAATTTCATATAATTTTTATATGTCATAAAATATTCTTTTTCTCCTTTTTAAATTTTAACGTAAAAACCATTCTTAGCTCATAGGCTCTGCAAAAAGAGGCAGCAGGCCAGATCTGGCTCACAGGCCATAAATGATTACATTACCTAAGCGTGCTACAAAGTGTAAGTTGTATAATAGTAAATGGTAATAGATCAAAGAAGAAAGACATGGTCCTGGGCCAAAAGAGCCAAAAGCTTCCTGGGGAAAATGGGATTTGGGTTGGGCCTTAAGGGAAAAATAAAATTTAGGCAAATGATGGAAGGAAATGGGAAGAAGGAAAAAAAGATGTATCCATCTGTCTTCTGGGTGTTAACAAGAGGAAAATGATGAAATAAGGTTGTGGTTGATGACAGGGAAGCTGCAGGAGACGTGTGAGGGCCTTGAACATCAGAACAAGGAATATAAACCTGACCCTCGCACAAACGGCGTGTTTAGATTATTCTTGCAGAGGAAACAGGACTAATTTGGCAAGGGAAAGATTAGGAGCCAGGAGAACAAGATGGAGATGTTGCTGTTGTGCAAAGTATAAGACTCTGGGTGAGTGTAGGGAAAGTAACAGAAGAGAAGGGAAGTGTTTGAGCCAGAACCCGGGATGGGGGCGGCGGGGGGGGGCCGCACAGGAAAAAGCAGGCTGAGTGAGACTGGAGATTTGGCTCCATGGACACCTGAGTGAGGTCAGTGACATGTCAAATGCAAACACAGCAGGTAGGAACCAAAGGCAGCACTGGGTCGGAAGTCAGAATGGAGTCAGGAATCAGACTAGAAGACTAAGTATCCTGTCAGAGAATCGGGATAGCAAAGGATCAGGATCCTCTCTGAAAGACAGCGACCACAAAGGGAAACAAGAATGTATCCAGGCGACCCCACGGAACCTGCGCTGCTGGAACGGGCCTGGCACAAAGTAGATTCCCTTCAATATTTGCGAAATGAATGAGTGCATTCCCAAATAATAACATATGAGCCACGTGGGAAGGGCATGAGCTTGGAATCAGACCTTAATGCATATCCTAGCCTATTTATTCATTCCATAAACATGTACTAAATGTGCCCGGTGTAGGATCTAAAAGTGACAGAGGCGGCTCTTGGCTTCAACAATTCACAGTTGATTGACAAGAGTCAGAAAGAAACAGACAATTGCTCTGCAATGTGGTAAGTGTTGTGACAGATGTGTGTGCAGAGGTGTAGCTCTGACCCCCAGGCTCCCAGGGCGATCATCTGCGCTCAGGCCTGCAGGGCCAAGGTGGATCAGGGGGACCAGGGAGGAGGGGTGTGGTGATTTGGAAGTGGAGGTGTGTATGGCAACTCCAACCGGATGGAATAACAAGGGCTGACGCTCAGAGGTGAGTGAGCATCGCGTGTTCAGGGATCTCTAAATGTTTAAGCACATCTAGAGCCAAAATGTGATGTGTTGGATCGGGGGAGGGAAGTGGGGTTGGAGTAGACGAGGCCAGAGTGATAGATCAGGGCCAGATCACAAAGGACTGTGTGTGACATGCTAAAGAGATTGGATTTTATCCTGAAGGTGATGGGAAGCAAATGAAGAATTTGAAGCAGGAAAGAGACATGATCCAATTTGCATTTTAGAAATAGCAACAGCATGGAGGATGGGCTGGAAGGAGATAAGGCTGGGCGTAGGGAGAATAATTTAATAGGTTACTGCAGTAATAAGTGGGAAATGGAGGAGGGCCTGAATTTAGCTAAGAGGCTGGGAGATGGCATGACAGGCTTGACATCTGATCATTTTTAGGGAGCGAGGGAGAGAAAGAAGGCTAGGGGACTCCCCAGCTTCTGGCTTGGCATCTGGGAGCAGGTGGCAATGGAGAGGAAGGAAAGGAAGAGGGTAAGAGAATGAATATGCATCGACTTCCTTCCATGTTCCAAACACTGTCTAAGTAACTTTACATATATTACTTTGTGTAATCTTCACAACAAACCTGGCTCATGGGTGTTATTAACCCCCTTTTCCAGATAAGAAAACTGAAGTTCAGAGAGTTTAACTCACTAGGCCATAACCAACACAGATGTTTTTCAGACCCTGGGACAGGCATGTGGGAAGAGGCTAAGGACACCAGTTAACTCTGAAAGCCTGCTCACTGTGGAGGTCAGGGGCATACCCCAGCAGCTCCCAGCCTCAGTCTTGCTCTGTGGGAGAGACTCTAAGACTGAGATCACTTCTTTTTCTTTTTTTAAGTTTTATTTATTTAAGTAATCTCTACACCCCACATGGGACTCAAACTCATGACCTCAAGATCAAGACTCACACATTCTTTCGACTGAGCCAGCCGGGCACCCCAAGGCTGGGAGCACTTCTGTACTCATTCTGTGCTCAGAGAGGCATGTCCCAAAGGCACCTACAAGAAGAACAAGGCTCAGGGCGATCCCTGGGCCCCAGAAGAAGGGACAGCACTGGGCCAGAGCATCTCTCCACCAAACTGAACTCCCCTCTCAGCATGTCCTACGGATCTGGGAGGAGGAAGTCAGCTTCCCTTCCCTTGTCTGGGATTGGCCCAGCCTGGTGCTACCAGACTCTCACGGAGCTGGGTCTCAGTGACATCAAATAGTTAGGGAAGGGGCAACAAAAGTAATTCAGCTAACGACAGCCTGAGTCAGAATTTAAATCTAAGTCTCTATGACTCCAAAACTCACGCACTTTCCACTTTCTCATGCTGGGAGAGTCACCAAGTTAGGTAATACAGAAGTTAGTGGGGGTTGACAGTGGTTCATTTTATTTTTCAGTATTATTAAGATATACTTGACATATAACATCATATAAGTTTGAGGTATAGAACATAATGATTTGACATATGTATATATTGTGAAATGATTCACCTGATATAGCCCTAAATTTTTTTCCCTGGTAATGAGAATTTTTAAGATCTACTCCCATAGCTGCCTTCAAACATACAATATTGTTAACTAGAGTCATCATGCTCTACATTACATCTTCAGAATTTTTTTATCCTTTAGGAGTTGATACCTTTTGACCACTTTTTAAAAAATATTTTATTTATTTATTTGAGAGAGAGAGAGAGCACGAGTGAGAGAGCACAAGCAGGGGGAGCGGCAGAGGGAGAGGGAGAAGCAGGCTCCCCGCTGAGCAGGAAGCCCCCCCCCCCCGACACGGGGCTCGATCCCGGGACCCTGGCATCATGACTTGAGACGAATGAACGAAGGCAGACGCTTAACCAACTGAGCCACCCAGGCGCCCCTCCTTTTGACCACTTTCACCCAATTCCCCCACATCCCCCACCATCCACCTCTGGCAACCAGAAATCTGATCTCTGTTTCTATGAGTTTGTCTTAGATTCCACATATAAGTGAGATCACACAGTATTTGTCTTTCTCTGTCTGACTTATTTCACTCAGCATAATGCCCTCAAGGTCCATCCATGTTGTCACAAATGGCAAGATTTCCTTCTGTTTATGGCTGAATAGTATTCCACTGTGTGTGTGTGTGAGTGTGTGTGTATTCACATCTTTATCCATCTATCCCTTGATGGACACCCAGGTTGTTTTCATTTCTTAGCTGTCGTAAATAATGCAACAATCAACACAGGGATTCACATATCTGTTCAGGACAGAGATTTTATTTCCTTTGGATATACACCCAGAAATGGAATTGCTGGATCAGATGGTAGTTCTATTTTTAATTTTTTGAGGAACTTCCATACTGTTTTCCATGGTGGCTGTGAATTTACATTCCCACGCACAAGGGTTCCCTTTCTTCACATTCTCGCCACCATTTGTTATCCCTTGTCTTTTTGATGATGGCCCTTCTGACTGGTGTGAGGTGGTATCTCACTGGAGTTTTGATTTGCATTGCCCTGATGATCGGTGATGCTGAGTACATTTTCGTGTACCTGTTGGCCATTTAAATATCTTCTTTGGAAAAATGACTATTCAGGTCCTTTGTTCATTTTTAATCGGATTATTGGTGGGGGCTGTTTGTTTTTGGTTTTGCTTTTTGCTATTGAGTTTCTTATATAGTTTTGATATTAACCCCTTACTGGATGGGTCCTTTGCAAATACTTTCTCCCATTCTGTAGGTTACCTTTTCATTTTGTTGATGGTTTCCTTTGCTGTGCAGTTTGATGCAGTCCTGCTAGTGTATTTTTTAGTTCATTGCTTGTGCCTTAGATATCGTAGAGCACCATTTTAAGACCTCCTGAATTTGAGATGCCTATGTGACATCCAAGTGAAGTCCGCTAATAAACTGGTGGGTGTATGCAGAACACCGTCCTCCTGTCATCTCTCTGCCAAGGAATGGTACCCGCATCCACTTAATCACTCATGCTAGAAACCTGGAATCATGTTTGACTCTTCCTCCTCTTCCTCAGCACACGCTAGTAGCCACCAAGTTCCAAAGACAGCACCTCCCATGTATTTCTCAAAACCCTCTCTTCCTCCGCAGCTTCCTACTGGGCTAGCTCAGGCATAATCTTCTCCCAACTACATTATGGCAACAGCTTCCTTCCTGGTCCCGTTGCCTTGGTCCTGCGCCATCAAATCCGTCTTCCAAACAGCCGGCAACATAAGGTATTTAGAATAAGATAGATCTATCCAGAATAGGTCTGCCCATGTCCTTTCTCCACTTCCTCTTCAGAAGCTTCCTGATGGATGCAAGCTACTTAGTCTGGGAGACAGGAGGTCCCCCGTGAACTGGCCTTGCCCACACCTCGGCCTCCTAGACCACCTCTCCAGAATCCTCCCCTCCCACTCCCAATCTGAAGTGCTGGGCTCCAGCAGGAGAGGCTTGTTTGTGGCTCGACAACACACACACCTTTTTGTATCTGGCTTCTGGAACTTTCTCAGGTTGCACTCTCTGCATTCTGAACTGCATTTTGTTTTCACCTAACTCCTCATTATCTTTTCAAAATCAACCCAGTTCTCACTCCTCCAGGAAGCCTTTCCTGCCTCTTCCTCAACACCTTTTTGCCAAAGCGGATTAGGTGCCCCTCCTCTGTGGTCCCATATGCTCTGTGCACAGCACCGTCATTGATCTGATTATGTTTCTTTACGTCTGTGCAAAGGTCTGTCTTCCTCACTAGCACAGTTAAGTTCCATAAGGCCAGAAAAGCATCTTATTCATCTTTTCATCCCTCCTGTCTACCACATAGTAGGTTGTCAGTGAATATTTGTTGATTAAATGAATGAGTACACATTCTCACAGTCACACTCAGGCGAGCATACCAACAGATGCACACACAGAGATGTGCTCAGCATCTCCCAAGAACCAGATCTAAGCACCTGTGCTCTCTGGAACCCCACTTATTGCAAAATGTAATAGTTTATACAATTCATTCTGGGGACCTAAGCAAGGCTCTGTCTCTTCCCTGTCTCTGTGTTTTTATGACTCCAACCTGCACATGGGTTTTAAACTCATATTTAGGGCAACATTAATTATAATTGAACTCTTAATGGAAGAAAAAGACAGGACCAAAAAAAAAAAAGGAAAATGCTTATTTCTAGTGGGAGAAGACTGTACAGTGCAGAAACAGCAAACACCCGGGGAAATCTGTAGTGAGAAGGACCTTTCAGATTAGAAGACTCAGCTTTGGACTTTATTCCAGTGCGTGTACGATATCAGATTTATCCAACATAGATGTAACCAACATATTGTCCATCCCCAAAACATCCAAATAGCTTTTGAGATACTTTTTCTGTTCATAGATATTGGGAGAATACACACACACTCACACACACTCACACTCACCCCTGCAAAAATATTCTGCAGTGCCAATGAAGCACTTAGACAACGCTGGTGAAGACTCCTACTTGCGACTCTTAAACCTATTCATTAGAAGTCCATCTTGGCTCCAGACAGGACCGAGAGCGTAATTTGTGGCACCCACTGAAAAACGAAAATGCAGATTCCCTTGTTCAAAAACCGTTGAGAATTTCAAGACAGCAATGGCAGAGCATGAAACCAAACCTGAGACACCTCAAGTTCAGGGTCCTGTGTACCTGCGCAGGTCACATGCCCACGAAGCCAGCTCGGTGCAAGAGTCCTCAAATCAATCCTAACTACTACCTCTAATTTGTTAAGAGGCCACTCTGACGTAATTCTCAGCCCCCCTAGTTAGGAAGTGTAGATCTCACTAGCTCTTCGCATAAGCTCTTAATTAGACCCCGGTCTCTTTTCAAGAACCTTCCTTTTGGGAGACTTGTGCAATTGGTGTGCCTATTCTTTTACTATGGTCAAACTGCACGTGAAAAACCTTGCTCTGTCTCTCCCTCTCTCTTTCCAGCTTGTCCAAGATCCAGGTTCAAAGGAGGCCTACAGATCTAGCCTGAAGCTCAGTAGTAGGGAAGATCTCCATGGGTCTGATAAGCAGCAGCTTCTGGTGAGTCATGAGGTCCCCCAGGTGCCAGCAACCTACACCATGGGCATGCTGGGAAAACCTCCCACCTGGGCCTTTGCCCTGGGTCCAGAGTCTGTGCCTTATCTAGGTAGTCGCTGAGAACAACTGGAGGCCACACACAGCAGAAGTTCCTTGTTTTCCAGGTACAGAGGGCCATAATCCCTAACTGCAAACACTGGCAGGTCCCGAGACCAAGGGGAAAGCAGGGGCAGATGGAAGTCTGGGGAGAGGCAGCCCACACAAGATTCCGTGGCCTGCAGGTGACAGGCCTAAGAGTAGCAGGTAGGAAATCTTTGGGGGGCCAGAGACTAAAAGCAATAAAGTACAGACAATGCAGAGGGTCAGGCCCAGGGCAGGTTTGGGAAGAGGTTCTAAAGAAGCGGGAGAAGAGCATCAAGGGTGGCCTCCAGCTAACCACTAACCCTTCCCACATCCAGGGGCCTACAACGGCCATTGCAACATCTGAAGCCATGGCCAGTGGGGAGGATGAGCCGAGGAGCTGTATGGTATGTGGGGACCGAGCCACCGGTTATCACTTCCACGCCCTGACTTGTGAGGGCTGCAAGGGCTTCTTCAGGTAAGAGCCTCCTCCCCAGGAGAAACAACCTCCCAAACCGCCCACCAGGCAGTCTTTGAGCTGTGGCACATGCCCGAGCTTGTCCAGCTGTGTTACTCCTGCCTCTCGGAGCCTAACTGCCCTGTGGCTAGCATGCTACATCTTGCCAACCTCAACATCTCATAAATAGGTGCGTAAATAGAATAATAGGGGGAAGGCTGTGTCTGCCCTGTGGTCACAACCCCTTAGTCAAGAGCACTTCTTCTGTACTCACTACCTGCAAAGCACCAAGCCAGTGATCTTGTGCCCCCATGCTCGAGATGTGTTGTACCCTACCCACCCTTAGGGACCCTTGGGCACAGCTCAGGTTAGCCCACGTCCCCACACATCCTTGTAGATCATGTCATCTCAGCCCCTCACATAGCCACCTGTTCACTGCCATCCACGACCACCCTCCCGGACGTCTCCATCTCTCACAGACGAACAGTCAGCAAAAACACTGGTCTCACCTGCCCCTTTGCTGGAAGCTGTAAGGTCAACAAGGCCCAGAGGCGCCACTGCCCAGCCTGCAGGTTGCAGAAGTGCCTAGATGCTGGCATGAAGAAGGAAAGTGAGTTGGCCCCCTACCAACACAAGAACCCACTGACTAGGTCTCTCTGCTTTACCCTCGTTCCCAAAGCATATTCTCCACACAAGAGGAGTAAGCTTTTGGAAACAAGTCAGATGATGTTTCTATTCTGCTCAAAACCCCAATGGCTCCCCACCTCTCTTACAGTCCGAGATCTCGTGGTCTAGCTCCCCCATAGAGCCCCCCAGATTTCCTCTCCTACTCTTCCTGCCTTGCTCCGTCACTCACAGCCCCACACTGACTTCAGTGACACCCTCAAGCACACCCAGCACACCTTCCTGGGGACTTCTGCACTTGCCAGTCCCTCCACCAGATTGCTCCTCCCCTAGATAACCACATGGCTTGAATTTCTGTCTCTCACATAAGGTGCATGTCACTTAGTAGGTACTTGATAACTGTTGAACGAATCATTGCACGCCGTTATTCTGTGCCACATAATTAGGCTATGCTCCCAACAGACCATGTCACTGGAGCTCACGGAAGTCAATGTGCCAGAGCTCACTCAGAATCAAAGTTACTACGTCCATGTTCAGACTCTTCTGACTCCCAAGCCCTTGCTTTCCTGTGATAGCACACTACTTTTCAATATGCAGCAGTGGAAACTGTAGAAGTCAAAAAATCTTGGCTTGCATCACTTTAGTGTTTTGTGACCCTGGGCCTGCCACTAGAATGCCAGCCTGCTTATGTATCTGAAAAATCTGGATAATAACATCTGCCTTGACTACCCTCTACCCATAGGGTTGTTTCATCCAGCGAGATTTAACCTCAGAACCCTTGACGTTATAGGGCTATGTAAACAGAAGGTGATGCTTTAGGAACCAAGAGCCCTCCCTCTTCAGTGGTTGCCCAGAAACCAGACATCTCCCTTCACTGCGACCGCTTTACTCTCCACCCCTCCTTCCCCCCAGTTGGTGCCTTGTTTTCCGCGGTGGGGCCTCCCGGGCTGGGGAGGGTGGACAGGGATCCCCTACCCCCTGGGGCCTCTAGGACTTCAGCCGCACCCAAGGAGGCCGCAGGAATGTTGCTCCCTCCCCACATCCTTCATCGCTCACGGTACCCAAAGGCTCCCAGACAGGGGGCTGGCAGAGAGAGGCGCTCCCCGCGGGTCTCAATGGCGCTGGCCTTCATCTTCCCTGGGCACAGTGATCCTGTCGGCAGAAGCCCTGGCCCAGCGGCGGGCGAAGCAGGCCCAGCGGCGGGCACAGTGGGCACCTGTGCAGCTGAGCAAGGGGCAGCAAGAGTTAGTCCAGACACTCCTGGGGGCCCACGCCCGCCACGTGGGCACCATGTTTGACCAGTTCGTGCAGTTCAGGGTGAGACTTTATATGGACTTTGGTCTGAAAGGGCACCAACGGGGTGCCTGAGGAGGCTGACCCGAGGGAGGGGGCGGGTGTGCCATGCCCCAATACGGAGGACGAGACTTCCCCAGAACCCCACCATCGACAGGCTCCTCGGCCCGGAACTCTTCCAGGAGAGGGCTGGAGAGACCCCTGGGGCCAGGGCCACTCACTCGGGCTCTGATCTCTGCAGCCACCGGCTCATCTGTTCATGCACCACCAGCGCCTGCCCATCCCAGTCCCCCCACTGCCTCTGCTCGAGCACTTCGCAGAGGTCAACACTTTCATGGTACAGCAAGTCATCAAGTTCACCAAGGATCTGCCCCTCTTCCGGTACGTGACCTCCCCTTACCTTTCAGGAGGAAAACCCTCCAATAAATTATAACCACACACAAACACACCCCCCAAAAACAGTCACTGACCCTCTAAACCCATCTTGCAGCCTTTCCAAGCACCAGGTCTTGAATTCCCTCTTCCGGTTTTAAGTATCTCAAGCAGAACTGGGAGCTCCTCTCCCTCTCTGAAGTTCAGGGCAGAGCCTAAAACGCTCTTGTCTGCTCCGTACAGGTCCCTGCCCATGGAGGACCAGATCTCCCTTCTCAAGGGAGCAGCGGTTGAAATCTGCCATATCGCACTCAATACCACTTTCTGCCTCCAAACACGAAACTTCCTCTGTGGGCCACTCCGCTACACGCTGGAGGACGGCGTCCACGGTGAGGCCCGCGGGTACACGGCCCTTGCCGAGCGGTCTGTGGCGGGGTGACCAGAAGGATCCTGAGGCTGGCATCTCCCACAGTGGGGTTCCAGGAAGAGTTTTTAGAGTTGCTCTTTCGCTTCCATGCCACATTGAGGCGATTCCAGCTCCAGGAGCCCGAGTATGTGCTCATGGCTGCCATGGCCCTCTTCTCTCCCGGTGAGCATCCCCCAAAGCCCAGAAGCTTTTGCTCCTCCACCTCTGCCCAAACTCCCAGCCCTGTGAATCCCTCTGTGCCAGGGCTTTGGCTTCAAACCCAGCCTGGGTCCAGCTGTGCTATAGGCCCACGCCTGCTCCCCACCTGTCCTTCCCGCCCCCCTCCCCTGTCTTACAGACAGGCCTGGGGTTACCCAGAAGGAGGAGATCGATCGTCTGCAAGAGATGATGGCACTGACCCTGCAGAGCTACATCAAAGGCCAGCCGCCAAGGCATCGGGATCGGTACGGGGGAGCCTGGGGGCTTGGAGGCTGTGCCGGGGCAGGAAGGCAAGGGAAACGCTGAGCTCAGGAGGAATGCTTTTACTGTCCTTTCCTCTGGGAAACCAGGTCCCTTGGGGGCTCTAGTCCTTCCCTCGCACCTCATATGGTTCTGACATCCAAATCGCTCCTACTGCTGTTTCATCTGATTTTTTCCAGATTTTTTTTTTTTTATTCAGTAGAGATGCAAAGTAGTAGCTCGCAGGCTCTGTATAATAGCATTCCTGAGATTGATGGCATCCATCACCTTACCCATCCAACTCTGCAGGCTAAAGCAGCCTTCCAAGATTCTCATTTGCTCTCTTTCCTTCACCCTTCCCTTCCTCTCCATTGGCCCATTCCTTTAATTTTTCATCCCCCTTGAAGTTATTATGGTCATTCAGTTTCATGGCCAAAGCCAGTCCCTGGCTCAACAGTCCATGATCTATCCAGGCTCTGAGGTACACTCTGCTTGTTCTCGTTTGTTCCTCAATGAGCCAGTCTGGCCAGAAGATGGATGCTTTAGACCATAGAACACACCCACCTTCTAGAACCTCCTCTAGAAGGCCAGATCCACAGATTCCACACAGGTGAAGTTCTGACCAAGTTTGGGGCTTTCTTCACACTTGGCCCTCAGACCTCTGGGTTCAAGAAAAACAGCATGGTGAGAGAAGACCTCGGGAACCTTTGGAATTTTTGATAAATATTTCATACTAGAGCATGAGTTTCTCTAGTGTTCAGACCTAGCTTCACTGAGGGAAAGTTCAGGGGAGCAAGACCTCAAGACAAGACTCTCAGCTACCTAACTTTCCTCTTTCCCTGGTGACCCCACTACTTCCTCCAAAGGTTTCTGTATGCGAAGCTGCTGGGCCTGTTGGCTGAGCTCCGGAGCATTAACAACGCATATGGGTACCAAATCCAGCACATCCAGGGACTGTCCGCCATGATGCCACTGCTCCAGGAGATCTGCAGCTGAGGCCCCAGCTTGCCTCCTTCCCCAGCCCAGCCAACTTCACACGTTGGACTGGAAAGGGGAAAATGCTGGGGCCAGAGGTTGGAACCAGTAGAAAGGGAGCCCAGTGGTTGCAATGAAAGACTAAAGCAATAACTGCCTCTTCATGCAGTCTCGGGGTTGGTGGGGGATGATCACGGGGACAGAGTTGTTCTCTGGAAGCATGGAAGATGGGGAAGGAGGAAGCCTCAGGGCTAAGAGGTAAAGAAGCTCCTTCTGGGAATGGGGGCGGGGGGCACTTTCTGAGGTCAAAGATTTAGCCCTTCAGCCGTCCTCTTCCCAGCCCTGGGAGACTCTGGGATGGAAAACAGGGTAGGGAGCTAATCCCATGCAGACTGTTCTGCTCTGAGGAGGAAGAACCTAGGAGCTTTAATCGATAGGGGAACGAAGAAGGGGGTCAGTGAGGGGAGAAAAGTTGGCCAGACACACCCCTTAATCCTTCTCCCTTAGTCCAGAGCCACAAGAGCATGGGAAGAGGAGCCTGGGGCCAGTGGCAGAGGTGGGGGCCTCACACCACCGCCTCAGCAGCTGCCCCTGTGGCAGCTCCAGTTCTGAGGAGGGCACGGTCCTGTCCCCCACTCTGCTCCTGGGACCCACAGGTCACTCGGCAAGGTGGGCTCTGGAGAGGGGGCCTAGTCTCTGGCCCTAGGGCACCTGACTTGGAGGTTCCAGCGTCTGTGGGGGCTGGCTCTGGGACCCCCTCAGCCCACAGTGATGCCGAAGCCACAGTGGAATCTGTTGCGCCAGTGACTGAGGAAGGCTCCAAGCGCTAGGGTGACAGGCAAGGGGGGCATCTTCTTCTCCAGCACAGCACCCACACACCAGTTACTGTCCACCAAGCCTGTTGGGGAGCAGGGTACACACGAGCTTATTTCACAGGCTCGGAGACAGGGGCCCGAAGCAAGGTCAGAAGGACGCTTCCCTCCTCCCTCTGTGCGCCCAGTCCCTCAGCACCTCCGGACGCCATCGTCACAACCCTTACCTCTAAATACCATGTTGGCCTGGGGCAGAGTCAGGTGGTAACCAAAGGAGAAGGTTGTGTCTTGTAGCCTTGTGTTGGCCTCAAATTCCACTCCAACCTGGACCTGAGCACCATGGGCAAGGATGGGAGAAGGACCTGCGTCAGTGAGGACCAGAGGAGTCCTGACGGGGAGGGGGCGCTCAGGGAGACGGAGGCGGGCGTGAAACATCTGTGCCGTGGGGGGGGGCTGGGCAGAGCCGCAGGGCAGCGGGGCCTGGGGAGGTGCGCAGGGGCACAAGTTCCCCACTGACCGGCCGGGCCGGGGGCGGCATCGGTTGTCTCACCTGTTCGTTGGCCCTGTGGTAATAACTTGCATGGGCCCCGCCTGATCCCACATTCAGTGTAGCTACCCAGTGTACCGCTGTAAAAACCAAAATGCGGGAGACAAGGAGCGTTACTGTAGCAGGACGCAGGCCAGCACCCCTCACCGAGTTCAGAATCGCCCCCCCCCCCGCCCCGATTCCTCCTCACCCCGTACCCGAGTACTTCCCAGCCAGTGTCAGGATAGCGCCCTCTTCGCCTGGCCTGCGGTGATAAACTAGCTCTCCTCCCAGCACCAGCCGATGGGTGAGGCTCTGCAGGAAGTGCGCCACCATGATCACTGCGGGGTAGCGGGGAGACATGGAGTCGGTCCCAGGGACGGCATCCAGGCCTGCTCCCCCACCGCAGCCTGCCCAAGAAGTTTCTAATCCCTCAACTGTACAGGCGATGAGAAGGCAGAGGCAACATCAGCAAGTGGGCAGCCAAGAGGCAAAGCACCCCGCCCCAGTTCCTCACCCGATTCCCCAATCAGGTCGGGATTCCCCAGGGTCAGAGTGGCTGTACAGTCATCTCCTCGGTACTCGCCATCAAACTGCCACGTCAGGAACTTGGCCTGCTGCGTCTGGGTAGGGAGAACAAGGAGTAAAGCCCCCCCCGACCCCCGCCCGGACGATCACTCCTGCCCTGCTCCTCTCCCTGGAGCCCCCCCCCCCCCCGCCCGGACGATCACTCCTGCCCTGCTCCTCTCCCTGGAGTCCCCCCCACCCCCGCCCCCGCCCCCGCCCCCGCCCCCGCCCGGACGATCACTCCTGCCCTGCTCCTCTCCCTGGAGCCCCCACCCCCGCCCGGACGATCACTCCTGCCCTGCTCCTCTCCCTGGAGACCCCCTCCACCCCCGCCCCCGCCCGGACGATCACTCCTGCCCTGCTCCTCTCCCTGGAGTCCCCCCCCACCCCCGCCCCCGCCCCCGCCCCCGCCCGGACGATCACTCCTGCCCTGCTCCTCTCCCTGGAGCACCCCCACCCCCACCCCCGCCCGGACGGTCACTCCTGCCCTGCTCTTCTCCCTGGAGCCCACCCCCACCCCCGCCCGGACGATCACTCCTGCCCTGCTCCTCTCCCTGGAGCACCCCACCCCCCACCCCCGCCCGGACGATCACTCCTGCCCTGCTCCTCTCCCTGGAGCCCCCCCCCCCCCGCCCGGACGATCACTCCTGCCCTGCTCCTCTCCCTGGAGCCCCCCCCCCCCCGCCCGGACGATCACTCCTGCCCTGCTCCTCTCCCTGGAGCCCCCCACCCCACCCCCGCCCGGACGATCACTCCTGCCCTGCTCCTCTCCCTGGAGCCCCCCCTGACTGAGCAGGACACTCATGGGGAAAGAGGAAATGCTTCAGGATGGAGGCAGGAACCATGGGTCACCTGGAAGACAGCCTTGGCTCGGAGCCGCTCTGCCAAGAGGAGCAGGACCTGGGCGTTGAGGCTGCCACTGCTGTCCATATCCCCTACCACAGTGGGGAACACCTGTTGAAGAGCGCACACAGTAAGACTGAGCTGGGGGGGCACCACTCAGCTTCCATCCAACCAGCCAGGATTTCTTAACAGTACCCAGCGCCCCCTAGTGGAGCCGCAGAGACAAACTCCGGCTCATCACAAACAGTTCCCCCACTCCCTCCCATTCAGAGGAAACAGAGAAGCAGGTGCCCTGTACATTCTTCCCCATAACGCACTCATTTCCTCCTCCTCTCGACCCGAGTCCCGGCTGGACTTTGAGGGAGATGACCCAGGTGTGAGGAGTCCTCACCTCGGTGGGGCTAAGTTGCCAGTCCCCTGCATAGGCTGCATGGAGGTGATAGCCTGGCAAGCCCAGGGCACTCATATGCACCGTGTGAGCCACCTGAGGAAAGAGAAGTCATGGAGGAAAGCATTCCTGCCCATTTCAATCCCCGTTCCACCCCTCCTCTTCTCCCCATCTAGAAGGCCTAATAAGAATCCCAAATATCCCAGCATACACAGAGGGTCACCAAAACTAAAAGCAACAAGTCCCCCAGGCAAGGGAAGTAAAGAGAGCCCCACATCCTCCCTCATTTGTCCCACATAGCCTGGTTAAGGCTTGAGTACAAAGGCAAGGAGGAGAGGATCCAGGGATAGGAAGGCAGGAACCGTAAGGAGGGCCAGAGAAGTGGGAGCACCTGGAAATGGCTGCTCAGAACCTTGTTGACAACGAGCTTCACTCCCTCCATCTGTGCTGGGAACACATCTGAAGGGGGTGGAGGGGAGGGGAAGGGGAGGAATATAAGCACAGACAAGGAACCCCCTACCCCAAGAAGTAGTCTCCCCTTGCAATCCCACTGAAAGCACTCTGGAGGCACTGACCTCCTTTCAAGTCCTACCGCGAAATGTTCCACTCCATTCGGGCACCTGATCCTCCCTGAGGCTGGCTGCCCCAGCTGGGATCTCCCCTTTCCTGCTCCCATCACAGGACACCCAGCATTCAAGACCCTCCCCTCCTCTGCCCCTTCAACGTGAGACACCCAAATGCCAACTTCTCACCTTTGCATAGCCGGTGCAGCTCATCGAAGCTCCCAGGGTTGGGCAGAGGTTCCTCTCGACGGGGACTCCGGCGGGGCAAAGCCCCCATCGGTGCCAGGCCCAGTGTGTTCCCCATTTCAGTCCAGAGAACAGGGGAGGGGCCGGGTTAGCCTGAGAAAGGACGCTATTGCTCCCTCTCCCCACCACGGGTCCCACCCCCCATCATCCGACTCCCCCGTCCCAGAAACTTCCACATGGTCCGATGCTAGACCTGGAACAGGAAGAGTGGGGAGAGGGTACCGGTGGGGAGACTGAACCCCAGGCACACTCCCGTCCCATCTTTGATTCTTCACCCCACCTGTCACCCCGTCCCCTCCCCCATTCTCTAATCCTAGCTCTCATCACAGACCTCACCCAGCATCCCAGTCTTTCTGCTCTTCATTCCTAGGCCCCAAGGCGAGGCTTGCAATGAAGCAATAGCCCTTACCGTCTCAGATTATCATGCTGCCCCTTTTCCCCCGGCACACCCCGGTCATCTTGATGGGGGCAGCCATCTTGAGTGATGGCAGTACTGCGGCTTCACGCTGCATTATCAGCGTGGTCATGAGCGCCATCTTGGAATCGGGCAAAAAAGACATCAAAGACCCGACCCTCCCTTGATTGGGCCCCGCCCAATCGATTAAAAAAAAAAAAAAAAGCTGCCTCCGTCTCCCAGGGGCCAATGGGAGAGGAGGAAGCAAAGGAGAGGCAGAGTCAGGTCCAAGAGAGCTCCAACCCAGGCACTGCAGAGGCGGGCGGGACTTGATTGGCAGCTCCTCAGACTTACTCAAGTAGATGGGCTTAGATCGCGCGGCCTCAACAAGGTCGGGAAAACGCCGTGAATGTACTAGACACCAGAGGGAGCATCTTGGAGCTTGGGCCAACTCCTTTCGCCGCGCAGCCTGGAGGCTTCCGTTTTGTGAAGGGTGGCAGAGGGAATGATCGTGAATACTGCATTCGAACCCTGGTTCATATGGCTCCCAGGTGCCCCCTACTTCGAGCCCCTTAGGGACTCCTCACAGCCCCCCATAGTACGCCGCAGAGCACAGTACACACCTCCAGATGAGTACCACTCGCAAGTACCGCTCTCCCTATGGAGACATGGAGGTCTGCACCTCTCAAAGTTCACCTTGTGGTTCTCTTGGTGGAATGGGACTGGGTGAGAGTTTGGGATAGAGGAGCAGGGGTCGCAGCCTTAGTTCTAGCAGGATGATTCCCTGAAGCAACTGCCCCCTGTCGGCTAACCCTTCCCTCATTGCCCAGGTAGAGTTGGCAAATAAAATCAAGGAATACGGGCTCTGGCCCCCCAATGCACTCCACTCCAGAGCCAGGGACAGTCAATGGAGCACGCTTCAAGTACTAAGCACTCTACAGAGGAATAATTGTAGATGGAGTAAGATTTTTTAAGGCCCTGGTCACTTCCCTCACACCTCCATCTCCATCTCTCAAGAATGTTCTATGTACACTTTTGAGGGCAAAAGGGTAAAAGATACAAATGCTTCTGATATCTATTTAGCTGATTTCACCCAAATGCCTTGGGCTTGGGGAATGTACCTTTGTCCTCCCTCACAATTAGGGCTGGCACAGGGGCTGGGGCCTTGGTCAGAGGGATGCTCTGGCCCCTGCTGACTCATACTGGGTGACCATCACCTTAGAATGATAAGGTAATCCAGTGACCAGGGAACTTCAACCTTTATCCTTGGTAGAAGACTCTCATTCACCTCCTTTCTTGCCAGAGCCCACCATTTGGAAAGGGGAAGGCAGGGGCTACTTTCTGAATTTGTTTTATTGAGGGTAGGGTGTACTCATTTATCAGCACTCAGGAGGGTCATTCTTGGCTCTCATGTTTTCTCCCTCATCTCATTACACATTAACTGAAAACAGGACAGATTCAATCACACCTGCCCTCTGGCCCTAACCCTTATCCTCCTAATCCTCATTCCCCTGCCCCTGATTTCAAGTCCTTTCCCCTTTCTTCTGTTCCCCAGTACCTCTCTACCAAGCTGCAGTGAAGGGGATAGGGCTGGGGAGACAAAATCTAGCCACAGTGGGACAAAGTTACCAAGGGCTGAGGGCTTATATGTCAGGGCTTTCTGGAAGAAAACTAGGAATCCTGCTTCCTGCAGCATTCAAATCCAAAGACTGCTCGCCCCAGACCCCAAAAGAATGAGAGTTGAATAAGCCTGAAGTATACCCCCTTGGCCTCCGCTAAGACCTGCACCCCCTGCCTCCCACCTTATCACCATGATCCCCCACACGCGTGTCCTCTCCTCCCCCATTTCTCCCACTTGTTTACTCCAACGTGGCCCCTGCCCCAATGGCGCTCTTCCACAGTCCTTATCACCTGACAGGGGGGTGGGGAAGCAGAAATATATATAGCTCCCGTCTCCCCAGCCAGGCCAGACACAGACAGCAAGGGCAGAGAAGTCAACCAGGTAGGGTAAGGGAGCGAGCAGTGTGGCCAGGATCCAGAGCGGACCAGGTTTTAATGGTGGGAAGCTAGGGAACCAGGGTGGAGTGGGCACCTAGGTAGGGGTCTCTGGGGGGGGGGGGGGGGCTGAAGCTCATTCCTCCCGCACCCCCAACTGTTTCCAGGCCACCATCCCCACTGTTACCACCATGAAGGTGCTTGCCTTGGCTGTGCTTCTCCTCGCCGTCTGTAGCCTTGAAGGTGAGTGTGATATGGAGGGGGGTCCCAGGAAGGAGAAGGTGCCCTTAGGGGTCCTAGCTACCCGTCTGTCTGGGCTCCTATGCCAGAGCGCTCCAAAGGAAGATCACTCCCTCTCTAAAGCTCAGAAGGCTCATCCAGAGACCTGGAGCTGGGTAGCTGTTTGGGGAGGGGGCTGAGAGAGGGGGCTGGCTACTGACAGAGGTATGGCAGGAGGCCAGGACTCATTGTTGGGGACCCAGCTGACGAGGTGTGTGTGTGTGTATGTGTGTGTGTGTATGTGTGCGCACGCGCGCGCAGGGGCTTTTGTTCGGAGACAGGCAGAGGAGCCGAATCTGCAGAGCCTGGTCGCTCAGTACTTCCAGACCATGACCGACTACGGCAAGGACCTGGTGGAGAAGGCCAAGGGCCCAGAGCTTCAGGCCCAGGCCAAGTAAGTCTCAGTGAAAGGGGCTTAGGGGGTGCTCCCGGCTGGCTCAGTTAATGGAACATGCAACTCTTGATCTCCACGTTGTGAGTTCAGGCCCCACATTGGGTATAGAGATTGCTTAAAAATAAAATCTTTTAAAAAAAAAGAAAAGAGAAGAGAAGAAGTAAAGAAAGGGGTTCAGGAACCAGGGAGCTATAGAGAGAAAGAAGAGAAGATGGGAGGTTGCACAGAAGATGGAGCTCAAGGGTGAGAGTTAGAGAGGGTGAGGTTTAAGTTGGAGAGAATAATTCCTTTGCCACCTTGTAGATCCCAGGGACCTCTTGGACAGATAGGGCCAGCAGGAACTAGGCTTTGAATTTCTCTCTCCAGAATCTGTTCCTCTACTCAGTGGAGGGCTTGCCTCCTCTCCTGGGAGCATTGCCATGCCAGGATGGACCAGGCCCTAGAGTTTGGGGAGCTGGGTCTCACCTCCCACGAGCCACGAGGCCCCTGCCAGCGCCTACGGTCTCTCACACTGGCCTCTAATCCTTTGAATACACAGGGCTTACTTTGAGAAGACGCAGGAGCAGCTAACACCCCTGGTCAAGAAGGCCGGAACCGACCTGATCAACTTCTTGAGCAATTTCATGGACCTCAGAACACAGCCTGCCACCCAATGAGGCGTCCAGACCATTGTCTTCCCTCCCCTGCTGGCCCCTAGAACCCCCACTGGCCAGGTCTGGAGCCCTCTCCCAACATGCTCCTTGTTTTCTACAATAAATACTGAAGGAGTCAGGTGTGAGCCTGGTGCTTTGGGGGACTGGGAGAAGTAGGGGTATTGGTGAGGGGAGGACCGAGAGGCCTGCTCCTGCTAGGAGAGGGGTTTGGTGTGAGGAGTGGAGGGAGGGATGAAGAGACAGATGGTGGAAACAATGGGGAAGTGGTGTCTGTGATTCTTCTCCATGCCTGACGCATCTTCCCCCAGCCTGGGATCTGCTCTGCAGCAGAGGCTTAGGCTCTGCACTGCACAAGGGATGGTGAACAGCAGGGGAGCGTCACAAACTGAGGCCCTAGACTACCGGAGGTCACAGGAAAGGAGGGCATCCCCTCCCCCAGAACTTCCTCTTGATCCTTCTATGAAGAGGAGAAGGCTTCCCATAAATGAACCCAGAGGTGTCAGCCAGGACCCTGGCTTCCCTTCTGAGCCAGGGGAACACCATGCTTCCCCCCATCCTACAGAAAAGATAGATTCACTCTTCTTCCCCAAAAGTGCTCAAACCCTCCTTCCATTTAAAATCTCTCACCTAGACCCCCTGTCTGGGGAACACCCATTCCAAAGCTCTCCCCCTATTATCTGGGTGCTAGTCACAGAACTGGCCGGGTGGTCAGATCTGGAACTCATAGACATGAGGCCAGCTAGGGGCCAGACAGGTCTCCTGGATTAAATCAAAATGGAGTGGAAATCAGGCTGGGCCAATGTGGGAGACTCACAATACCAAAGTGGAGCTCAAGGAAGAGGAGGCATCTTCCAATAAAAGTTTGTTCCCACTTCACACTTAAAGCAGTTACCTCCCTGGCTCATTTCTCATAGCTCATCTGAAATCGCTGCTTCCCAGACACCAGACATGACTCCAATTCCTTCCATGTATCCATCAGTCCTCAGTCTGGCCTTCAAGGCCCTCACCACTCATGGCAAGTTTCTTCCCTAGTTTCTGTTTTTCTCTCACGTGGCAAGATGTGTGGGGACAAAGAGAGCTCAGCCTGTCACTTGCAAGATGCCCTTGGACAGGTTAATTAACTTCAAAGAGCTGGATCTTCCTCCCGGGGTCAGTGAGCAGATCCAAGGGTGCAAGAGAGCCGGGAACCATAGTGGACGGTGTAAGTCGCTGTGCAGTGCTGAGTCTTACCCAGGACGGGTGGTGCCAGGGGTCGGCCCGGGGACCCGAGACCCATTCTGCCGGGGCTGCTGGGTCGGAGGTAGGACCTGCGGCATCTGATGGGATGCAGGAAATGCTGCCTCCTGGCGGAGCGGCAACGGAACCAGCATGGACCTGACCACAGTGATTCCTTAGTCACCCACCCCGGCACTCGGAGGAGCTGACCTCCCATCTAGACCCCATCGCTCCCCTTTGCCTTACCCACCTCCAACCCTTACCTGGCCCTCTAAGGTCCCTCTTGCCCCAGAACCCACTGAAAACTCACTGTTCCCATAAACCCTTCCATCAGGGGCGTCACACGAGGCTTCATCGGGCCATCCGCTCTGCATGTTTGGCTTCTCAGCTGTGCTAATGCCCAGATGCGTGCGTGTTGGGAGCTGTCCCCATGCTGCTCCCTGAAGCTCACTCTGATCCGGGTTGGTGACTGTTTGGGGCTGCACAGCCAGGCTACTCCACAACCCAACCCTGGTTCAGTTGCCGGACATGGAAAGCCAAGCTGGGTGCAGACGTCATTTCTTAGGTTCCGATGTTTCTGAACGTGCCCAGACTCCTGACACCTCCCTCCC